CGTGCTCTCAGGGCATACCCCTCTATACAGCACCTCCATGTGTTCACCAGCCTAGAAGCTCTCTGAACCCTGTACTTGTGGGGTTTTTATGTAGGCTTTATCGCATAGGCGTGACCAATCAGCAACTCAATCTCTAGGCCCTCTCCCCTTCCCAGAAGACAGGTTCCAAGCTTCTAACATATGTCACCATCCTAAAGCTACCTGGGAACCCACCAAGAGTCCCACCTCGTTAGAACAAAACACACTCCTATCATCTAAGAAATCCCAAGCAATTTGGGAGTTCTGTGTGAGAAACCAAGGTCAAAGACCAAATATTAAAGATGTTCCTAGTGTTTTTACCACTTAGAAAATTACAAGGGTTTTAGGATCTCTGTGCAAGGAGGGGTTTGAAACATACCTACATACATACATATATTTCTATTATTTCACAGCTTGTATGTGTGTGCACAGGGAATTAGAAGATTATAAACAGGTCTTTCACCTACATGAAACTTGATCTTGTGTTACATTTGAGAATCATGTGTGATGAGGGACATTTCTTCTTTGTGGGACATCTTATGCATTGAAACATGTCTCTCCTCCTGGGCCCTGCCAACTAAATGCTAGCAGAGCTCAGTCATAAATTTCCAAATAGCCCCAACTGAGATCAACTTCTCTAGGGTGCCATTAGAGGTGAGGGAACCCCAAGTTGTAAGAGAACCAATGATCTATCTGTAGACTGGAAATAACAGCTACCTTGTGGGGATTGTAATTAAAATGAGATACTACATGGAAGTGCACTCCACAAAGCCCGGTCCATAGTAACCAGTCAATGAATGGTAATCATCCCAACTATATTCTATTTCTTAAACATCCCAAACCTACTCCAGTCTGAGAGCCTTAGAATTTCTACTCCCTCTGCCTGGAATGCTCTTTCCCAGTCTGGCTCCTAATCATTTACATCTTAGCTCAGAAGTTCCCTTATCAGAGAACCTTTCATAGCTATCTATCTAAAGTAACAAACTTCATGCCTTCTTATACCCTACCACATGACCTTGTTTGTTTCATTCGCAGCCATGGTCATGGTCTGAAATGACCAGATTCACTTGTCTGCTTGTGTATTGTCTCTTTCTTCCCCGGGACTTGTCTGTGTCACTCACTGGTCTATCACCAGCCTCTAGAGGAGGGCCAGACACAGAGTAAGGCCCCCCATAAACACTGACTGAGCGACTAGTATGATTCTTAAACCAACACAGACGTGGCTTCAACTTAAAATTGATCTAGTTGAATAGATCTTAGAACTAGAGGGCCGCCCATGAGCTCTTCCAGTCTAGCCTCTGGCCTCTCCCCTTGCTGCAGATAAGGCAGGGGAAGGAGAACCCTTCCTAGCATGGACAAGTTAAGACCTGACCACAACAAATCAGCTGAGCCTAAGAGATGAGGTAAAAGACTGCTCACATACTTAGCCTCAAATATCCAGGAACATTATGTCTTTTTATCCGCCAGAGGGATCAGAACAATTAATTTAGGAAGAAATGCGATAAAAGTAGAACTGGAGCCAAGGGTGAAGAAGGTGGTTACCTAGTCCTTGGCAGTGCAAAGAACTGTAAAGAAGACTGCCAGGGAAATGCAGAGGGCAGAAATGCCCATCTGGAGGACCAATCAAGTACCCAAACTTGTCTTAACGCCAGAAGCTATTGGACAGTTTGTTTGTCTACCATGGACTTTGAGAAGCCCCTAGAGAACTCAAATTTATGAATACATATATACTGGGTGCTTTCTATATGCAAATCAAAGGACGGAAATTAAATGATGATTGCCGGCTGATCTTGTTCCTGGATTTTTAACTGAGGAGATTGGAGGGCCCTGTTTTTCAGTGATGTTTGGATCTTTGGATGTTTTCAGACTCTGGGTTACCAAAGGGCTACTACTCAAGAGAAAAGTCCATTTGGAGAAAAGTCCAATCAAACAGGTTGCAGAGTGTCTTAATCCTCCCCAAGTCTACATCCTGCCAAGGATGTAGATGCAGGGGATATCACTGCGGAAAGAGCAAGAGGTCTGGAATCAGGTGGACGCAGGTTTGCAATGCACTCCCCAATGATTATTAACAAAGACCTTAGATAATTTACATAACTTGCCTATGCTTCAGTTTCTCACTTTTATTTATTTTTAAAGATTTTATTTATTTATGAGAGAGAGAGAGAGAGAAAGGCAGAGACAGGCAGAAGGAGAAGCAGGGTCCCTGCAGGGAGCTTGATGCAGGACTCTATCCCAGCACCCGGGGATCATGACCTGAGCCAAAGGTAGATGCTCAACCTCTGAGCCATCCAGGCGCCCCATTTCCCACTTTTAAAATAAAGTTGGTGATACTTCTGCTACAGGGTTCATATATGGACTAAGTAAAACTGCAATGTATATGAAATGTTTTGCACACCTTTCAGGGGCTGCATGCCAAGCATTTATTTCCTCGCCCTTAAGTGGGAGAGTGACAATTACCTTAAAGTGGGGGAACACGATGACGGTTCCTGTAGAAGACAGCAAAGCAGAGACAAGAAGGAGGACATAACAGTGACTAACACAGGAAGAGGTCACAGCTGAGTTATCAAGTAGGCTAAAATTACCTTGGTTCATAACCAGTAATCGGGGGCCCCCAGTACAGCCCAGTGAGTCTGCTTGGCTTTTACACTCAGGAAACCTTCTTGCCCCAGCTCTACTGCTGCCTGTGATCAGGTTCCTTACAGGTAACGTGGCGTTAAGAATACCTGGCTCATTGTGAAAATATACTGAGATATAGGATGGAAGGCACCTGGCTCCCGGCGAGACTCTTCCTAGCCCTCCTTAACTGGTGGAGAGCTGCTGAGCCAGCGTCTGAACAGGAAGGGCCAATGAACGTGAATTTCACTTATTAGCATTTCAGCCAAGATAGGCCAGATTATGCTGTGGTTGCAAGTAACCCTAGAATTTCAGTGACTTAAAATGAAGATTTCTTTCTTTTTTTTTTTTTTAAAGCAGTCTCCACACCCAACACGGGGCTTGAACTCACAACCCTGAGATCAAGAGTCACATGCTCTATGGTCTGAGCCAGCCCAGGCACCCTGAAGATTTATGTCTTCCTCCCCCTATTTTCTAGCATGGTCAGGGAGTCGCCCTATTCCACACCATTGTCATTCTCGCTCCAGGCCCCAGGCTCACAAAGCAGCCACTTTCTGCAACATTGCTGGTTCCCATGACAAGAAAAAGATAAGACGGTGAAGCATCCTGACTTTCAAAGCTTCCACTCACATTTCAGCGGCCAAAGCCAGGCACATGGTGATACCTTCAAGTGGGTGGGAAAGTACAACCCACCATATGTCAGGAAGGAAAGACAACAAGAATATTTGTGAACAGCCTTAATGACTACTGTAGTTAAGGAGCAAAGACTTCAGAACGATTTAATTATCTCTTTTCCCAGAGAAAGACTTGCCATGAATTAGCTTGTTGAGAATTGGCATGGAACCAAGGATATGTTTTTCTTTTCTTGATGAAAATAAATTATTGGCAAATAATCTTGCTGGGTTATTGCACTTTTTGCAATATTTTTGGTTGCTATGCCCACTGCTGGGTCTAACTACACAAAGGTAATTTCTGTAGACTTTTTTATTGTATTGAGGAGATCGCCTTTTCATCACTGATGGGTCTCTGCCTCTCTCCCACGTAATAAAGGTGTACCTCCTTTATATTCTTTCCAATCACATTTTTAAAAAAGATTTTATTTATTTATTTATTTGACAGAGCAAGAGAAGGAGAGAGCACAAGCAGGGGGAGCAGCAGAGTCCCCGCTGAGCAGGGGGCCCAATGCAGGGCTCCATCCCAGGATCCTGAGTTCATGACCCGAGCTGAGGGCAGACACTTAACTGACTGAGCCACCCAGGTGGCCCCCCAATCACATTTTGAAACCCCAAATTTCGTACAGCATCAAAAGCACTGAATACTCTCTTAGAAACCATGGATTTGAAATGGCCTATGCTTGTATGTGCATTTCACACTCAGAGTTGGTTCTCTTGTGACCCAGAAGTGTGGGAAAATACTGCTTCCTTCCCACTCTATGACATGCAAGTGTTTCTCAGATCCTTCTTCTCTAGGAAGACTTCCTAAAACACAGGAGGTGTTCTGGTTCCCTACTGCTGCGTAACAAATGACCCCAATACTTAGTGGTGTAAAAGAACAATGAACATTCAAATTTCCCACAATTTTTGTGAGCCATAAATTCTGAAGCAGCATAGCTGGAAGTCTTGAATCGAGGTCCTCCAGGAAGTTGCAGTTAAGATGTTAGCCAGGGTTGCAGCCATCTGAAGGTTAAAGGACCGAGGTTAAAGGACCACCTCCAAGACACAGCCAAAGATTCACTTCCAAGACTCACTCAAACGGATGCAAAATTGGTGTTGCTGTTGACAGGAGGTCTCCATTCTGCCCTATGCGTGGCCTCTCCACAAAGCTGTTTGGGGTCCTTTCCCCTGAGTAAGTGAGCCAAGAGAGGCAAAGACGGAAGCTGCAATATTTATCATGATTGAAACTCAAAGGCACGCACTGTCACTCCACGGTGTCCCAGTACGCATACACGGAGGGCATTATCAGGGTATGATCACCAGGAGGCAAGGATCATTGGAGGCTGTCTCGGAGGCCAGCTATCTCAGGAAGGAACGCAAGAATTCTTTCAGTTCCCTTAAAATCCACTCCAAATATAAAAAGAAAAATTATAAGGTAAGTTCTATGAAGGCAAAGGCTTTTCTTTGTTTGTTGTGCTCACTTACCCCTTTGAACACAACCTAACATAATAGATTCTCAGTAAATGTTAGTGTAATGAATGGATAAGCTGAAAAATCAGGACAATTTTTTTTAAAGTCTCAGTAAAATATCATAAGTACTATATATATATTTTTTTAGTTTCGAATGTGGCAGACAAATGCCTGGGGTATGTGATACACAATTCCTTATCACAATGTAGACACCAAATAAACACTGAGAAAATAAGACCCCCTAAGTCCATTCCAAGTTGGTCCAAACTCATCAACTTTTAGAAGCATGATTTCATCAGGAAGGCAGTGAAGCACAGGTAATAGACTCGGGGTTATTATCAGAAGTCAGATGAAAACCAGGATCCATCCATCCTCTCGGGGCCTCAGTCTCCCTACTTAGAACAGTAGATAGAGGTTTGGGTAAATGATATCAAAACCACTTCTAGCATGAACATTCTGACATTCTTTGCCCTCAATTTGAATTTCACCATACATATAAAACTAGGCCTATGTGAAATTATTTCTGATCAAATTTATTGATTAGATAGCTCTTCCACGTGTGCTTGGCTTGCAACTAAAATGTGTACATAGGTCTGGGTTTGATTAAGGTCTATTAATCTTCAGTGGGGTAAATTATTACGTCTCTTTGTATACAAATTCCAGAAGATTCCTGGGAAAGAATTTAATAGAAGTGAGAGTTTGGTTCAAAAACAATTTCTTAAAAATTGGAAGGAAAAGGTTATTTTAGAATCAGCTCCATGGGGACGCCTGGGTAGCTCAGCAGTTGAGCATCTGCCTTTGACTCAGGACATGATCCCAGGATCTCGGGATCGAGTCCCACATCGGGCTCCCTGCATAGAGCCTGCTTCTCTCTGCCTCTGTCTCTGCCTCTCTTGTGTTTCTCATGAATAAATAAATAATTTTTTTAAAAGAATCAGCCCCATGTCTACTAAGCAATTACCTAATTTCATAGCATGTATTCATTCCCGACCGAACCCAAGAGATGGGCTGATATTAAAATAGACGCATTAACAACTGCAGCTGGTTTTTCACGTATCACCTAAAGCTGAAAACAGTACTCCAGGAGCAGTCTGACCACAAAGGAACAGAATGCATTCCTCTACCTGGGGCTTTAGAAGGCTGGAATTTTATTTGGGGGGTTGTGCATTTTGTCACCTCTTGATTCATAGTGAGGTGACACTAATCAAAACTGCACCTAATGTTGTAGTCACCACATCTTCGCCTGAACCTTGTATTAAACATCCTCTTGTTAGAGTCGTCCCATCGTTCTTAGTCCAGGTGTCCTTAGATCCTGCTTTGTGCCACTCCTGCATGGCAGGGTTTGAGTTAACATCCCCAGGCTCCTCCCTTCTCCTGCCTCCTGTGTGGTTGGTCTTCTGCCGGACCCACCACTGGCCATGGGAGCCCCATGGCAGAGTTCACATGAGGCAGCCTCCGCAGAGCAGGGTGGACGGCAGAGAGTGGATCTAGAAGAACAAGGGAAAGACATTCAGCACATGTGGTCTTTTCAGGGTCCTTAATGAAAAGGCAGACCACCCAGGACCGTGAAGGGAAATCTTTTGCACAGCGCTAGAAATTTTTCATATGATATTGATCTATTAATCTGAAATACACAGTCTGTATGGGATATATAACCAGGAATACTCTTTTCTTTTGTGTATTTTTTTAAAAAGATTTTATTTACTTATTCATAAGAGACAGAGAGAGGCAGAGACACAGGCAGAGGGAGGAGCAACCTCCATGCAGGGAGCCCGACGCAGGACTCGATGCCGGTACTCCAGGATGATGCCCTGAGCCAAAGGCAGACGCTCAACCGCTGAGCCATCCAGGCATCCCATTGGTGTATTTTTTTAATTTTTGTTTTTTTAAATAGGCTCCACACCCAACATGGGGTTTGAACTCACGAGGCCAAGATCGAGTTGCAGGTTCCACCCACTGAGCCGGCAGGTGCCCCTAACAAGGAATATTCTTAACATACTAATGCAGCCTTCTCCTAGTACTAGCACTTTTTTTTTAAGTTTTATTAAGATATGATTCACACATAGAAGTCACCAATTTAGTGTATAGATCAATGGATTTTGGTATATTCACAGTTATGTGACCATCACAACAATCAGTTTTAGAACATTTTCATCTCCCCATAAGAAACTCCATATTCGGGATCCCTGGGTGGCGCAGCGGTTTGGCGCCTGCCTTTGGCCCAGGGCGCGATCCTGGAGACCCGGGATCGAATCCCACATCAGGCTCCCGGTGCATGGAGCCTGCTTCTCCCTCTGCCTGTGTCTCTGCCTGTCTCTCTCTCTCTGTATGTCTATTATAAATAAATAAAAATTAAAAAAAAAAAGAAAACACGTGTCAGGTGCTAAAATAAGGGTCTTAAAATAGCACAATATTGTATTAAAAAAAAAAGAAACTCCATATTCATCATCATTCATGCTTCATTCCTCCTCAAACAGACCCAACCCCTGGCTGCCACTAATCTATTTTCTTTCTCTATAGATTTGCCTATTCTGCACATTTCACATAAATAGAGCTCTACAAAATATGGTCTTTTCATATTCAGCTTCTTTCACTAAGCATACTGTTTTCAAGGCTCATCCATGTTGCAGTATTTATCAGTGTTTCATTTCTTTTTATTGCAAAATGATAGCTATGAACGTCCACGTGCAGGTGTCTGTGGGGACATACATTTTCATTCCTCTTGGGTATGTGCCTAGATGTAGGAATGCTCTACTCATATGGGTCATATGGTAACTCTGTGTTTAACCTTTTCAGAAACTGCCAGACTGCTTTCCAAACTGGCTGCACCATTTTACGTTTCTACGAGCAGCCTGTGGTGTTTCCATTTCTTAATATCCTTGCCAACACTTATTATTTGTCATTTTCATGATAGCCATCCTAGTGTGTGCATAGTATCTCCTTGTAGTTGTAGTTTGCATTTCTCTGATTGCTAAAGACACCAAGCACCTTTATGTGCTTATTTGTTTTCGGCATATCCTCTTTAAAGAAAGGTCCATTTGGGGCACCTGGCTGGCTCAATTGGAGGAGCATGACTTTTGATCTTGGGGTCATGATTTCGAGCCCCATGTTGGGTGTAGAGATTAGTTAAATACTTAAAACTTTAAAAAAAGAAGAAGAAATGTCCATTCAGTCTGCTGCCCATTCTTAAAAATTAGGCTATGTGATTTTTGTCATCAAATTATAAGGGTTGTTTACAGATTTTAGATATATATCTCTTATGATATGTATGTTTGCAAAACTTTTCTCCCATGATGTGGGGTGTCATTTCAGTTTGTTGATGGTGTCCTTTGAAGCATAAAGTTTTTAACTTTGATGACATCCAATTTCACTATTTTTTCTTTTGTGGAGTGTGCTTTTGGACTTATATCTAGCTAGTCCTGTTTTGAAAGTACTTTTTCTTAGCTTCCTGTTCAGGTTTAGAAAAATAGTTCTGATTTCCCTTTCCTGCTCTGAGTAACTTAGAATAGTAGAAGCTAATATTTACTAAGCACTTACTATGTGCCAGGTTTTAGCTACGAGTTCAGACAGCTTGGGTAACCAGCCCAGGGCCCCAGGGCTAGTAGGGATTCATCCAATCTGATTCCAGAGCCCATACATCACTGTCCTACTGGACATATCTTCCTCATCTTGACATTTGTTTCATTTTTGCAGGAGGAAAACAGGGTATCTGCTGTTGGTGTTGGACAAGTTACACTGTCCATGTTCTTTGTTCCCTTCCCTTCCCTGGGGTGACTCCTCCACCCCACCCTTTCTAGGACTGCCAGAACTTACAAAGTCTCCAACACACACATACACTTGTCCAAAAAGGCAAAACAACACCCTCGTTCATGACACAGGATACCAAGGCCCCAATGCCACAGCCAAAGCTGCCCGGACCTTAGTGATACTGAGTCTTCTTTGGTTGTGACAGTGTCTAGGGACTGACATCCAGGTGCAGCTCTGACCCTTCCTGCAAGTGAATTCTAAATAAATGAGGTGAGAACTATGTAACAGGAGGCCACAGGCTTCTTCCCCTACAACTTCCCCTCTTTCCCCTTGTAATCCATTGTCCATGGGAGCCATTTGAAATTTCTTCAGAATGTCTTTCAGAACTCAGCCTTCCTCTCCTACTTCATCTTTCTTGCCACTGCGTCTGTTCAGGTCCTTCTGGTCTCTTAGATGAACTAACTGAACTCATTTCACAGTCTCCTCTTCAATCTAATGGAGTTGAAATGAATTCTCTCTTCATGTTGTCTTTCTCCGTAGATTATGAAATCTTTAAGGTCAGAAACCAAAGGGAATTAATTTCCCCAGAACTAAGCTGAGACTCTGCCATCCAAAGGCATTGAATCAGCATTTACAGAAGGAATACTCAGTGCCGAAACGTGCCCAGCACCTGGAGTCACCATGAGATGTCCCGTGAACCAGCTGTTTCAGAAACCCCTTCCTACCCTGCTATGAAGTGCATGGACTTTGCTAACATTTTGGGGGGGGGGGTTGGATATCAAGCCAAAGTAGGCGTCTTGACTCACATAATTCTTTGCAGGGGTCATCTGTTGACTTGGAAACTCCCCTTTATCCTAGTTGTGGGGGAAAGCCTGGACTGTGTCCCTCTGAGACCCACCTCTACCCAGGCCCACCAAGTGCTCAGGAAGTCAGTCATGTTTCCTAAACACATCCACACCCAGTACCCTGAGCCTAAACACCCCCTGAACACCGACGAAGGAGTCCCCAAAGAAGCCAGGTGAGCATTTCGAAGTCGCTCTAGTAGGAGAACCAGTAGTGATATCCGCTGGGTAACCTGCTCGCTCTGACCTCGTGGGGAGCAGTGGAGGTGAGCAGACAGGACCAGGGCTCCCCCTCAGGCCTCAGGGGCTACGCCAGCGATGCTGCATCGCTCCCGTCCGGTGCCCAGCCTCCGTGGTCCTCCTCACATCCTCTCTCTAAGTTTCCCAGGTAACACCTCCCACCCCTTTGCCACAGAAAACTGCGCCATTCCTCACAAGACAAAGTGGTCCCAGGGGCTGCTGTCTCTCTCTCTCTCTCTCTCTCTCTTTGGCTGCTGTCTCTTCAGTGCAAAATTAACGCCTTGGGCTTCAGCTGGATGTTAAGGAGAGACTCCTTTGCCCAGCCTGCCGCTAGCTCCATGTGGGACAGGGCTGGGCCTGGTGCCCAACACAAGGAGAACCTTCCAGGCCTCTCCCTCTTAGGCGGCGAAGGCTGCAGGCCGCGGCAAGTGTCATCCTGATTCACCTAAGGACGACTGTCTCTCCAGGGTCCCTATTACTCATCTTCCAAAGATAATGCAGGCCCGTAACAGAGGAGCCAAGTATTTTTCAACCGTTAACATGTTTTTCACCTGGCCCTATGATGGAAACTTTGGCATTAGCGTGCTAAAGTCCTGTTTGTTTCCTTCCTGGATTTATTTCATTACAAAGGCCCCTTGTTAGTTGAGGATGTTTGTTTACTTCCTATTATAGAATTTCTTGATCCCCGAATCTCTCCCCAGATGGAAGCGGGGGCGGGGAGGATCTCTGTTTATCCTGCCACAGCCGTAAATAAAAACTTAAAAGTTCGCCTGTAGAAGTAGCAAGATAATCGCAAAGGGAATGTTTGTGGATTCAGGGCCTGGATCTATAAAGCATCCTTAAGAAACTGACATCTTCAATTTCAAAGGAAATTGTGAGATTCCTAACCAACATGTGTCTTTTTGCCTAGGGGCTAGACTCTCAACTTGTCCCCCTCCATTTCCAGCTCACTATCTGCAAGATGAAAGGAACCAATCTAAGATTTCTAGAAGATTCTTGGAATTCAATGTAATTCAATTAACATTAACATCTACTGAGTATCTGCTATGTGCAGCATTGGGTGGTAAAAATGCGATTTTGTGCCATTCAGGTAGAAAGTCCCATGGTTTCTATTACCTGCTTTGAGAAATTGTGCTAGAACAAAGGTTGACACAAAAAGTATTATTTCTTTTGCCTTGTCAACCTAGCAGCAAAGGAAGAAAACATTTTTCCTAAATGATTTATCCTAAAAACCCTGAGCCCTACAGGGGATTCTCATGGGATAGGTCCCTGGGGTTTATGGAAAAGCATTCCAAACTCCTTCTGCTCTTTCCTTCAGTAGCGACTTCACTTAACCTTGACAGTGACAAAGAAACTTCTTCAAGGAAAAATAATTTTAAAAGGAAAAAAAAGAAAGATATGAACAATAGTTCAATCTTAACCATTCTTCCAGCAGGAAATATGAGTATATTAATGGTATCAGAAAAATATGTTAAAAGAAGCTCAACTGGAAAAAGAAAACATAACTTTTTCTTAAATTCTTTCAAATGACAGAAATTATTCATGGGAATACAAAAGGGAGCAATCTCTGAGGGTAAAACATGCTATTTTACTGGTGGGTCTTTAGAAATACCCTAACTTTCCATCCATCCCAGTTCTAAGAAATCAACTTCCATTTG